CCCCAGTCAGTTGAAGCCTTTAAGGGTGAAGGGGAGTGGCTCAAGATGGGCACTTGGTGTTTTGATCACTGTGAGAGATATTACCTTTGAAACACTCCCCTTAGACTGTGCATTGTTGCTCAGCAGCTCAACACAGGAAAATTGGGCTCCAGGTGATCTAAATGTTGAACGGTGAAAACTAGGAACCTATCTCATCATATTTCCCTGAAAATGAGGCCAGGCCTTATACTAAGTTTTGCTCCAGAAGGTGCAGTAGGATTCATTTTCAGGGCATGACTTATTTTTTCATGTCCGCCAATCTACATTTATTCAGTTTTTCATCTACAAAAATATACATTTTTTCATGTACAACAATCTACATTTATTCATTTATTCATCTACAAAAAGTCTATATTTATTCTTGTACAAAAATCTACATTTATTCAAATAGTCATACCATCTTCTTTGGGAACAACATCATAAGTCTCCAATCCCCAAATTCAGGCCTGCATTTTTTGAGATTCGATTTCCTATAGAACCGGGCCCCGATCTCTCTGTCTAGCAATAAAGCTGTCTTTAAAGGGGCACTTCCTGTCCTTGCAGCCTGCTCCTAGTACACTGGCAACACAGCTGTCAGTGATTTTACCCCGTGAATTCCTCACGCGAGCCACGACCTCCTGCAGGCCGGGCTTCACCAAGTTCCCACAGATCCAGTGTTAACTGAAGACTTACGAGACAGGAGTGGTGACAGAAATGATGACAGCTAACAACAATGGTCCACGCAAAAGCGATGAAAAATTATAGTCCTCAGAATTCACAAAGTGTTTCTTTATTTCACACAAGTGCATTAATACATCTATTACAACACACAGCGTGCTGAATTATGAAGAGTCATATTGGACACAACCATGCACCTTTTTTAATCAAGTGTACGCATTATTCGAATGTTGTTCTGTACTCTGATTGGTCATTTGGCAACAAGTCTCAAGTTCGTCTGTTTACAAAAGCATTTACCTCTTGTCCAAAAGTGCCTGCTTGGGGAGTCACACATACTTAATTATAATTTATATTATCTTTTTTTATTATTTTAAAGAGAGTAGTAAATGAGAAACAAGCAAAAAATAGAACAGTAGCAGCATTGCATTTGTTTATGTACCATGAACATAAACAAATCAAAGCAAGGACATTCAAAGTGATACAGGGTCTCAAGACAAACTAATACGAATCAACAGTGGCTGTTACATTATATATCGCTATCCTCAACTACATTGCTCAGATTACCAGATGTAAGAATGAAAGACTGCTCAAACCATTAAAGAGAATAAGAAAATAATTCTTCGATAAAACAGTAGAGATAATACAGAGTTTCACTAGACAAGAGGGTAGGAGTTCACCACTGTAATTCCAGTGCATATTGTTACCTTCAAATCAGTTGCTCAGACCACCAGATACAAGCATGCACAATTGATCAGAACACAAAAAATTATAAGCATTAACTGTTCATTTCAATACACCATCAGACATCAGCAATACAGTTATTGCAACTATTCATATATATATTTATATTTTGCCTTCTTTCTTTTTTCTTCCTTCCCTCATCCCATTTATTTTAAGCATTAATCTCAACATTATTTATTGATATTTAATTATATATTAATATGATTATTTTATAATTCAGTATGTCTATTGTGAGTTGCCGCAGACTACTAAATACGTCCATCTGGCTAATGATCTTAACTGGGGCTTATTTTGGGAGTAGGGCTTGTGTTATGAGCATCCTGAAATGCCCCCCTAGAGCTTATTTCCCAGTTAGGTCTTATTTTCAGGGAAATATGGTACCAAGAAAAGAAAGCAACTTCAACCCAGTATATTCACATTCTCAAATCAGGTACATGGACACCTATCCACTTTTGAAATATTTTAAAATGTAAAAAAAAAATAAAAGAAATATTTAAAAATGTAGATTGATACTACATATCTGGTTTTACATAATAAATATAAATTTGTCAGCTGGGTGTGGTTACCTGCATGTAATCCCAGCATTTGGGAGGCTGATATAGGAGGATCACTGTGGGTTTGAGGCCAGGCTGGGCTACCTATGAGGTCAGAATCAGCCAGGACTGTATAATGAACCTTGTTTCAAAAAAGATCACAACATGTGTCAAAGTGTGTAACGGAATGTGGGATTTTTCTTTTCCTGATGATTTGGCATCTTAATCATATAAAGAGGTTTCTAATGAACATAGTTCCAATTTATAAAGCTCTGACTCTTTGAGCTTTATAAAACCTGGAAATGTTTCTGGAACTCCTGTGTCCACGATATCTGTGTCTCTGGCTCTGTTTTCTCGTGTCCTCTGAGTGCAGAGCATGGAAGAGAACAGGGTTAATGTTCACTGAGCCCAGCTTAGTCTTAGTCTTCGTTTTCATTTTTAAGTGAGGAATTGGGGCCTGGAGAGATTGAGTCAGGTCATTGAAGGCCAAGGTCATTAATGGTTGCAAATGGCAAAGTGGTGCTGTGACTGCAGGTTTGTTTTCAGGTTGCTTTGCCACTGACCCATTGAAGACAAGGCAGCAAGCTCTAATCTGAAGATGACCCCTGAGGTTCTTGCTCACCTTTGTCCTGCAGCCTGGTGCTCAGCACAGGGCACAGTGGACCACCATAGCGCTGGTGAGGAAGGGACAGGCATGAGTTAAAGAACTGCAGTGCCAGGATCCAGGGTCAAATGAGTCAGAGGCTCATATCTGAGTTCAGCTCTAACCAAATCCACAAAGTCAGGAGAGCCTCAGTTCCCGCCCCGTCGTGGCTTGGTCTCTGTGTGGTAGGTGGGTGGTTGTAAGGACTGAGTCAAGCACTTGGCATGCTGCCTGCACATGACAGATGAATATTAATATTAATTTTATTATGAATATTAATTTTATTATGGTTCATCAGACAGATTCTCCCACACTGTAGAGCTGTGTCCAACTTGAGTGAGACTCAGTTTCTGCATCTCTAATATGGGGAATCATTTCTCTTATGTGGCTGTTTTATTTAGCAAGAACTACTTTGAAGGGATGAGGTGTGGCTCCGTGGTAGAAAGCTTGCCTAGCATGGGCCCTGGGTTATCAGGTTAATAATATACCTCACTTATTGTGGGCTGATCAGGTACACAATCTCCGGAAGGGGTATATGGTGAAGGCTAAATAAAAAGAGGAGAATGGAATGATTTCAGGGCTCCAGGAGGATCAGAGCCCTCTCATAGGGCTCTGAGATTCTCTCAGGGCTAAGACCAAGACCTTCTCTGGGTGGCCCATATTTATTTAGCTATCAGAAGAAGGCAGGGGAGTACTCAAGAAGAGTGGAACTACTCAAGAACTTCTCCAAGCAAGGTATTAAGTTAATCCACCCAGCAGCGAGATGCCTGAGGCTCTAGTCTTTATCTAGTTGAGATCAGATCCAGGTGTCCTTGGCTGTGATCTTGTCTTTTCCTTTGAGGCTTTCTGGCTTCCTCAGCCATTACAGGTTTTGGTAGGGATCAGTGGTTTACTTCACAGAGGTTCACTTACTATGGGTCCATTGCCCACTTTCAGACAAGCAGCCTTGGATAGATTCGCAAGAAAACATAAAAAGCCAATTGATTAATTTAAGTCTTGCTTTGGGCTGCTTCAGAGTGGGTTCATAGTGTGTTCCATCACTGGGTTCTGACCCTAGCACTGCAGAAAGCAAGCAAACAACAAAAACACAAATCCTGTATTTTGTAGTGTTTGCTCCATGCTGTGTTCTGTGCTGCTCTAAGCATTCTGCACATGTTAACTTGCTCAACTTCAGGTTAGCCTCACAGGTAGGCCCCATTCTGATCCCATTTGCATATGAAGAAACTGAGCAACTAAGGTATTAAAATTGCTGAGCCAAGGTTCTCACCAGATGCCTTGCTCCGGAGTCTGAGTGTGTACTTGAGTGTGTAATGACTGCTCCCTGAAGCAGAGCTGATGGGATGATATTGGTAACCTGTCCAGTTCCACACAGCAGAAGCCACAAATGTGTCAGCTCATCTTCTCCATAAACACCTTCTGATGTCCCCATGGGATTTGTCAGTTGGCCCAAGGGTCTCCTGAAATGTGCAGTACCCTGCCCCTTTTGAAAGCACCCAGGAACACGCAGCATGCCTCTGTCTGATTGGCCACTTTGGGGTCATCTCTCCCGGGACACTGCAGCTCCACGCAGTGAGATGTGGACAGCTGTCCTTTGGGTGGCTGTCATTGATGACAGCTGGAGCACAACAGCTGGAGGGCAGAGCTGATGTTGCTGATGACAGAGGGCAGGTCCCAGGAGCAAGATAGCTAGAAGGCTCGCGTCTAATGGCAGGCAGCCTGGGAGCACGCCAAGCTGCTCTCTGGGGTCCTTGAGGGGCTGTGAGGAACCCTAGGGAACCCTTTCTGGGCTCCATGTGTCTGTCTTGGGCCAATGCCCTATATGCTTTTGTACACTGTAGGATTTGTAGTGTCCTTGACTCAGTTTCTGAGTGTGGTGATCCCCCAGGCACAGGGCAATTAAAAAATAAGACCTTTTCTCTACCGAAGGACAGCTGAGATAACTACTGCTGATATCTAACGGTTTATTGCAAGGAACAGTTAAAGCTTTATTTATTTATTTATTTATTTTTGATGAATTTTGCATGCTTATATCTGGTAATCTGAACTATTAATTTGAAGACAACAATATGCAATGTAACAACCATTGTTGAATTCCTACCATCTTGTTTGGTGAAGCTCTGTATGGTTTATAATATATTTTTTTTATTCTCTTTAATGGTTTGATTAATCTTGCATTCTTATGTCCGGTAATCTGACCAACTTTGATGAAGATAACAATATGTAATGTAACAACCACTGTTAATCCCTATCCTTTTGTTCTGAAACTCTGTATCATTCTTGTTGTTTTTGCTTTGTTTTTGTCTACATTGTTGGCATGTTGCTATTGTTCTTTTTTTAAAATTCTCTTTAAAATTAAAAACAAACAAACAAACAACAGGACCACAGGATCATGGATCGACTGCTTTGTTATTACTGTGAAGCATTCTGAGGATCCATTTCTTCTTTTTTTTCCAGCACCAGAGATCAAACTGCAGACCTTGCACTTGCTGGGTGGGCACTGTGCCACTGAGCTATACCCCCAGGGCCCTGAGGACCCATTTCTGAGGGCCAGTTTCTGTTTCTTTGTGTCTCGGAAAGTATCTAGGATGTATAAATGAATATCTGTTAGGATTTCTGTGACAGTCATTCCTTAGGAAAATCCCGGCAGAATGTTTTACTGCCCTGGAGGAAGATGTGGTGCTGTCACCCGCCTGAGATCCAGCAGTAGGGTGCTCGGGGCTACCTAGGCTTGCAATTGGGAGGCTGCGTCTTACACTTGCTGCTCACCTCTGGAGCTGGGGGGCAGCATCAGGACCCCAGGCACTGTCACAAAGCAGAATCTCAGGCCCGGTCAGGACCGCTGGCTCTGAATTTGCATTTTAACAAGATCCTTTAGTGATTTGCATGTTCTCTGAGGGCTGAGAGGCATTTCCATGGGAGAAAGGCAGTGGGCCTTGGAGTAGGAATGCCTGTGGCTGGAACCCAGACTGTCTCAAGCTACCTGTGCCTCCACTGCGAAGCCACTTGGTCTCTGAACTGATCTGAAAGCCATCCCGGTGGCAGAGGCACACATGAGCACTGTGACAGATGTCCTTTCCCTTTCCCTCTCAACCATCCACCAGAGAACAGGCAGAAGAATCAGGAAGGCTCCTTAGGTGTCCTTAGGAATGGTTACTTAGGATGGCATGACAGGGTAGAGAGATGATTGTTCCCTCCCTCGGCCTCAACGGAGAAAGGCATAACACATAGCAGTTTCCACTAATGGCTCTGCTGGGATGTGACAGCTCTGGTTGAGAGGCTGATCTGAGTGTGACAAGGGTGGGAAGAGAAAAACTGGCACATGGTTCAAGGAGGGCGGTTAGGAGGAACAATGATGGAGTCCACAGAGAATGGCCAGCCAAGGCTCTACAAGGGGAACCCCGAGAGCTGATGCAGGCCACTGGGCCGACAGTGGGCCTGGGAACCAGAGACGTGGGAACGGGAAGAAGGAAGTGCTCCCGCTCATCCTTCACCCCCTGCCTGTCTGGGCTCCAGGACCTTGCACATCGCCGAGCTCAGGCACCCACCACACTGCAGCATCATGGGTTGACTGCTTTGTTGTGAGAAGGAAGCATTTTGAGCATCCATTTTTGGGGGCCGCCTCCTGCTTCCTTGGGTCCTGTTTCCAAGGCATCTAGAATGTATAAATGAATACACGTTATGATTTCAGTCACAGTTTTTTCCTTAGGAAAGTCCTTGCGGGACATGACAGAGGAAACATGGAGGGTCTTGGTGAGCAGGTGAAGCCCTGTTGGCTTCTGCTCCTGAGGAGCCCTGGGCTTCCTGCCCCTCGTCTTCTTGCATGGCGTGTTTCCAGCACAGAGAAGGCACGAGAGGGAAAACCGTGAAGGTGTTAGCGTTTCCATGGGACAAGTTCTTCTTTGCTAATGGCTGCATCAGAGCCTATGACTTCCCAAGTAATCACCTGCCTGGTTTCTACAAGACCAGAAGGCCAGGAGAGAATGATTGTGCTTTTTCTTTTTAACCAAATGGCCTCCTGCCAGCCCTCTAGAGTGGTCCATGAGGTCGGTGCCCAGGACGCCCAAGGATTTACTGAACTCGGATGGGCGAAGCATGAAACAGACTGATGGGAGACACATGAAACCCGGCCTGTACACACCTGATGGGAGAGAAAAAGAAGAGGCTGTGGACTGAAGAGCCAGTGTATTCCAGGCCTTCTCACAAGGGGGCACGGAAGGCTTCAGACCTGTGTCCCTGAGGAGGGGCTGGCTAATTTCCAGGAGGGGATGAGGTGCTCTCAGGATGGCCCCTGAGCCCCAGGACCTGGGATTCATTGCCCTGGGGGATGATCTATCCTAGAAAGGTAAGAGTATTTCCTGATGCTCCATTTTGGCTCTGGAGCTGCTCCAGCAGCTCAGCACGACCACTGCAGCCCGGGTCTCCTCACAGGCGGGGAAATAACACGGGTTTGGGGCGTGGTGGTGGGTGTGGCCCTTCTGAATGGAAGCGAATACATTAAAGGAAATCCTGCTCTTACTCTCCGCCACCCCTCCTAGCAAGTCTTTTCCTTCTCTCCTTCTCCTTTTCTCTCTCTTCCTCCCTCCCATGCCCCCATCCTCTACGTGCAGTCCTGGCTTTCTCAAGAACGCACGTCTCTCATCGGAGGCCAACAGAGAGATGGGGACCTGGGGTCCTTGGTGGGTGCTTGAGGTGATGGGTTGTGGAGTGGCCATGACCCTGCATGTAGCAGGCTAAGTGCTGGGCGTGGCTTTTGACCCCTGTACTGTTTTCTCCCCTCACATGCCATTTCCCGTTTGGTGAAGAAGGGACAGGCAGGCTGGGCTGGGTGGGAGAGGGAAGAACTGCAGGGAGGAGTGCTTGGAAGCTCACGTTCCGGGTGAGCTGGTCTCCCTCTGTTCTTTTTTCTTTCTTCTCTTTTTCTATTACTCATTTGTCTGTTTTACATTTTTTTACATGGTAGAAGCATCACGCAGCTCAGTAGCTCCTGTTCCTCTCTAGTCCCCGGGTTTTGCTTGTGTTTGGTAGAAGGTTTGAGTCACTGCCATAAAAAGCATCACAGCCGGGTGAGATGCTGACCAGGGACAGAAGAACCTGTGGTGGCTGTGGGCAAGAGATGTGGTCTCCTGGCTAAGGGCATTTAGGTCATTGCTGTCTTGTTTCTTTGCATGTAGGTACACGTGTGCGAGTGTGTATGTGTGCGCGCGTGTGTGCACGTATGCAGGTATGATGACCAGCTCTTCTTCTGTTTTCCTTCACCACTCTCTACCCACTGCCAAGCAAGCTAAAGTGCTAACCCCTTCACATTTCACCAGAGGAGGACTCCTCTGAGCTGGAAGAAGAATGCACGATCCCAGAGACACAGGCACAGCTGGGATGAGTGCTTCTCTTTTCAAGGAGAAGGCACATGTGTCTCTAGCTGTGTGAGGGACGAGTGCATCGTGATGGGGGTGCCCTGCCTCTCTGACTGACTTTTGGGAAGTTCTAATCCAGCCTAAGAGGTGGACTGTGATGGCTTGTTTTTAGGGCAGTGCTTAAAATCCTCCGCAATGCAGAGAAGCCAGGAGCAACATTTCCTGGGACCCTCCCCACCCCTTGCTGTGTGGCTCTGGCCTGAGTTCATCCTGAAGAGCTTCTCAGATGAGATAGTGAAATGGAATAGGCAAAGTCAGGCTTCTCCGGAAGGTGCCATCCCAGGTGTGGGGATCATTGTGGCTTTCCGGGAGCTCCTAGGACACACAGGCTTTGCTGCTGCAGCTTGAGACTGTGACTGCCTCTCTGAAACCCCAGCCCTGGGGCATGTCCTTGCGGTGACTTCCCAGCCCTCCTCCTCCGCTCTTCTCCATTTGTGGCCTGTATGAAATGCTTCCGTTTGTCCTGAAATGTTACCGTGCTTCCCAGGAACACATGCAGGATGCTCTTCCTCTGTGTTTCCTGCTGGGTGCGGGGTGCGGGGTGCGGGGTGCGGGGTGCGGAGTGCAGGGTGCAGGGTGCAGGGTGCAGGGTGCAGGGTGCAGCGAGCATTCATCTCACACTTCTTGTCCTCACCTGGCTGTGACTGACTTGACTTGCAGCACTGTGCCCGGTGTCCACTGCTGTGAATTCTGTGCACATGGCCAGGGGGACATGCTCAGCAGGGGACAAGATTGATGTGGAAGGTGTCCTGACAGTTGCATTGTGCACCTGGCACAGGGTGAGTGAGCCTGGCGATCCTCAGCTGCAGTGCTGGGGACCTACAGACTTGGGCTGCAATGTTTAGCCATGGATAGGGCTTGAGACGGACTGAATGAGGGCTGCTGGGTTGTCCCCTGTGCCGGCTGGCTTCCTATCACTGTCATGAAATGCCCAGGATCATCGCCTTCTAAGGCAGAAGGTTTACCCTGCCCAGGGTCAGTTGGCCCTGGTGCCCTGGGCCCGTGGCGAGGCCAGTCATCATGGCAGGTGCAGGACAGAGCACATAGCTCACCTCATGGCCAGATGGGATGGAAGGAAAGGAGGGACTAGGGTTCCTGTGACTTGGATGCCTTCCACTGCTTCCTGAGAGTGCCACCCTGGGCCCAGGGGACACGTGAGACCCAACTACACCATCAGTACCATTTGTCCCCTCCCGTTGTGAGGCACAGGCAGGGTGGAAAAGAAACCTGTCCACAGCACGTAGAGCAGGGCCTTGGGGAGGTGACTGGGATTAGACAAGGGCAGGATGGAGCCCCGGGCCGGAACACAGGTGGCGTTACCAGGGGAGACCACACACACGCATGCGCACACACACTCCCTGTCTCTGGCCCCGGGGACGCCCATGCTGCCTGGCACTCTCAGTAAGAGACGTCACCAGACGTAGCTCTGCGTCCCATTTCTCTGGAACTAGGAGCCAAGTAAACCTCCATTCTCCATCACCCCAGCTGCAGTTGTCTCAAGGGCAGAAAAACAGACTCACCGCATGAACCTAGGGCTGCTGCGTCTGCTAGGCTGTCGGCTCCAGGCCCTGCCCCTGGGAAGAGCCTGAGCACTGTACCTGCCAGCACTGCTTCCAGGTGCTGTCATGGCGCTCAGTGTGGCCAGGACGGGCCTCTTCCACAGGAGGACGCAGTTGGTAGCGGGGTCTGGCCTCCTCAGCCTGTAGCTGCCCCCTGCACCCTGCGGAAGTGAGTAACATCTCACTGTAGGGATATCAAGCCTCCCGGAGTGTGTGGCGCTGTACCTCGCTCATAAGTGCTCCGTGAGAAGGCACTATGGCATCACTACCCACAGGAAGCCACGCTGGCCCAGTGCCAGCTTCAGGGTGACAGCAGCAAGGTAACTGTGTCTGAGGGAGCATGAGCCCGGGCACAGGTGGGGCTTGGGATGGCCTTTGCCATGGTGAGACGTCCCCTGTTAGCAGGATGGGGACAGGCCCTTGGGGAGAAAGAGACTACGGGCTCTGGTGACCCATGGCGCTGGTTTAAGCCCCACCTCTGCCACTCTACACTAGTATAGATTTTATTTCATGCAGTCTAGAGGACACGGACCTGGGCCGAGGGGATTCTGTATGTGGATGCCTGACTTTACTATCCCAGAGCCTCAGTTTCTCCGCCTGTGAAGTGGAGCGAGTGTGCTGACCTGGAAAGTGGATGCAGAAAATGCCCACGGCACGTACTTTTCCTGATAAATATTAGATTTGTTTACTTTTTATGGAAAATGCTGAGGATTTTGGTTAGGATAGAAACTGCGTCCATGTGTGGCTTAATGGGTGACTCGTGCTTTGGTGCTGTAAGTACCGAGTGTCCTGGGTGTTCTGAAGATGAGACCCTCACAGGGAGGTGCTCACACCTCTCACAGGACTCTTCCAGCACGATCAGTGCCTGTGGCTGCACCCAGGTCCTTTGCTTGTCACGTCCGCTGAGTGCAGGGGTCGGTGTGAGGGTCTTCCAAGGCTTTTCACCTGTAAGAGAGAGGGTGTGGGTGTGTCTGCCCCTACCCACCAGTGACCACAGGAGACTGGTCACCTTAATCTTTTTGTTTCACTTTCTAGTTGTTTTTACCACTGGAAGTTTTGTGGCAGCTGTGAGGTGAGCCAGTTTTTCAGTGCAAGGGTTACTCCTGATCCCTGCTTTCTGCCACAGATAAACAATGCTTGCTAGCTATTGTGAGTGATACTGCATTTCAGGAGCTTAAAAGATTGCAGATAGGTTATTAAATACTTGATACCAAGTACGTTCTGAAGTTGAAAAGCTATAATATAGGAAAAATATTGATTCTGACCTAAGACTTTATAGTATGTTGACTTTTATGACATATACACATATATATCTGTATCTATATATGTGTATTAGTTTTTATTTATTTTTTGTGGTTCTGGGGATTGAACTGAAGACCTTTGCACTGAGCTACAACTCTATCCCCCTATTTATTTATTTATTATCTTCAGACAGGATCTTGCTAAGTCACTAAACTGCTCATGCTGGGCTTTAATTTGTGATCCTGCTGCCTCAGCCTCCCAGAGTTCTCAAATCATAGGTGTCTGCCACCACACCCAACTACATTATGCATTCTTATGAAGCTTTTTCTTTCTGTGCCCATTTAAAGTGCTTCCTGGCCAATTCCACTATGGAAAACTTGGAAGAAAGGGGTCTTTCGTTGCTTTTGTGCCCACAAAAAGTCCTCAAGAAATAACAAAATATGTTAGTCAGCTTTCTGTTGCTGCAACAAAATACTCGGGACAACTTTTAAGGAGGAAAGGTTGCTCTGACTCATGGTTTCCGAGGGTTCTGTTCATGGCCAGTTGGTCCTTGATCTTGGGTCTGTGGAACACAGTGGTTAATAGAAGCAGCAACTCACTTCAGGGTAGCTCAGAGCAGAGAGTGGGAAATGGAAGAGGTCCAGTTCCAGTATGTCCTTCAAGATCACAGCCCAGTGACCTAAATTCTCCCAAGGGTTCTACCACCTCCACACATGGGTCTTGGGGAGATACTCAGCTCTCAGCGCCAGGCAGTCCTTGACAAGCCTCCTTTTTTGCTCTGTCCTTACTTTCTATCTTCTTTCCCAGTCAAGCCTTTTTGCTGTGTTACTGGAGGCCAGGGAATTAACTCTCTAAATCTGACCTAGGTGTACATCCACCCCCCAGATCAACAACTTCTAGCTTGCAGGTGGCCCCGTCCTCCCAAGGAGCAAGATGATGGGATTTGCCCTTGCTATTTTCTTCCAAACCAGTGTAGTATTGTGTTAGCTTGTGGGGTTGAAATTCTGTTTGGAATGCGTAAAACTGCCTGCTACTTAGCTGTTGGATAAAGATGGAATACTGAATTTAATTTTTTGAAGGAGAGTAGAGTATCACAGGTACTGTTAATGCCACCATGCCTTCCTGAGCCTCGACTGTGGACCTAACTCATTCAATCTAAGTGTTTGTTCCTACACCCGCTTTATCAGGCACACAGAATATTAGAGAGTAAAATCACTGCTGGATACATTTCTTCAGTGCTGGCATTCTTTAGTTCTGTTTCAAGATCAGAGAGACCTTCCTGCCCTGCAGAAAAGTATTATTTATTGATGTGGTATAAATTTTCTTTAAGAACAAGTCAGAGCTACTTAACATGAGTGGTTTATCAAGGGAGCATCTTGAATAACAAAACACACCAACCTGAGAATCACGCCATCCAGACACACAGCCTTTAACAACTTTAATTGGTACAGTTACAGCTGGTATGCAACATGTCCTACAACAATGATAGACACAACGACATCACATGTCAGAGAAGTTGCCTGTCTCTTTTCCTCTTTCCATGATGTCAGCCAGCTTCCCCTAAGAAAGAAACTTGGCAAGGAACTCTTGCTTAGCACTATTATCTTTACTATTATTTTCTGGTGCTTCTTAGACCGGAGCTGAAATGGTACATTCATTTGCCCTACAAAAGGTTAAAGGCAAAGAAGGTGAATGAACGTGCAAATTAGCATCTGGCCCGACTGCAAAATTCATTTCCCAGATGCAAGGGATGGAACCATGCACCCTTGCAAGCAAGATGAAGGGCGAACCGGTAACATCAGACCACAGTCCACTACAGAAGGAACCCAGAGGACCTCAGGGTGGTGTAGGCCAGCGCTTTCCAGTGTGTCATCCTGGCCTCTTGTGTCCCAACTCGTCCCCTGTCCTTTCAGCAGGAGATGGACACCACCTCCGGGACCCCAGGCACAGTGAACCTCACCGCTGGTCGGCTTCGCTGGGGCAGTTCCGAGCAGTCACAGCTGTCTGATGTGGCTGGGACACCACTGGAGTTTCGTAGAATAAGTAAAGACAACACCCAAGTATCACAGCAAACAAGAAACTGATCACTTATATACCATTGCAATACTTCAAGTGTCTATAAATGTGTCTCTCCAGAAACCGGAAACACCATAGACATGATTTCACGAGTCCTCATGGCACCTCTGTGAGGTAGGAGGGGGCGCGGTCAGTGTGACAGCGTTGACCTCCTCAGAAATGCAGACACAGGTGGGTGGGGGCAGGCAGGAGAGCTCTGCAGGGCCCTGGGGAGAGAAAACTCAGCTGACTTCTGCTCTGTGCTCACGCGTGAGGGACAGGAAGGCGGCTGCTTGCTTCCCTCCAGCGCCAACACCTGCCCAGGTGGGTGTGGCTGTCAGAGGCATTGCAGCTTCCCTCAGGTGGATGGGACAGGTTCTCCTTGGTGAGCTGTTGGCATCTATTTCAAGGGTGCGCACACGCATATGTGTGTGTTTTGAGTGACATTTGTAGAATACACTTGCTAAGATCCATTGGCTGATTCCAATGCTGAAAAAATACATTTGGCAAAATAAGGCTGCATCATAAGTATTTAATACTAACCAACAAGACAGGTGCAGCTGAAGTTTTATGGCAGGCCCTCACCTTACTGAGCACCCCAAGTGAGGCCCAGATCCCTCTCTTTGCCACCAGCCCTGAAAGTGAATTAGAGCAACAAACTAGCCCTGCGCTGTCTCCATAGCAGCCCTTGGTAAGGAAAGGTATTCACCCCACTGGGGCTCTCAACAGGCGAGGGGTCCTGGGAGAGACCGTCCTGGGACCAGGGACACAGGACAGAGGCAGCCGTCCCAACGTGCCCTTCTCCAAAGGCATCCCTGGGTGTTGTGTCCAGATGTTTTGGGCTGAGAGAGGAGGACAAAACCTCACGGAAGGCCCTGTATTTACTGATTTGCCCTTTGGCAGGTGGAAAGCCCTGCGGAGGGAGCGAGACAGGGGGCGTGACAGCTCTCCCAGCCCAGCACAGCCAGGGTGCACCTAGGCATGCTTGGCTATGTTTCTGGGATGGTCCATGCTGAGCTAATTCCTGCCAGCTCCTTCCTCCTTGCCCTCTCTGGCTGTGGGGACCTCTGGTGAACTCCCCTTGGACCCAAGGGGCTTAGGAAAAATCATTGTCGGTGGGCAGGACACAGGTTAAGGGGAGGGGCGCTGCTCCTGATTTCTGATGCCAGGGTCATTTCCAAAACAGAGCCATGGGGTGAGGCCACACCGAGACAACTAGACTGATGCAGTTCCACATTCTTGGTGACACTGTGGGACACGTCACGTTTTAAAGTGTGTTTTCTACTCTGTGAAATCAGGATGCGAGATGCCGGTTGCTGATACAGAGCAGGATACAGGTGGAGTCTTGAAATAAAGTCCTTCAGAAACACAGAGGCTTAAAGGGGCATCCATGCGTGCCGGGAAACAACCCATCAGCCAGCAAACTAAGACAGAAACTTGACACATTGCTTCATTTTGTTAAAAATAAAAGAGGTGGTTAATCCGAGAGTTGTTCTGTCCCGGGCACTGCAGCGAATTGGGGTTCTCAGTCTCAGCACTTTTGAGGCTTTGGGCTGGGTAATGCCTGGCACCAGATATTTTCGCAGGCACAGTAGGCTATGTAGCAGAGTGCAGGCCTCTGTCCACGCTGGCACCCCAATTCGTGCCCACCCATAATCCCACCAAATGTTTTTAGATGTCCCCGAGGTGGGGTGGCAAAAAATCACCTCTTGGTTGAGAATGGCTGAAATAAATGGATTGGGGCTGGGGATTTAGCTCAGTGGCACAACGCCTGCCTGGCAAGTGCAACGTCATGAGTTCGATTCCCGGTACCGGAAACAAAAAAACCCCAAAAACCAAAAAAACAAAAAGAAATAAATGGATGCCCTCAAAGATGCAATGATTTCTCGATATCTGTTGTGCAAGATTTTAGTGACAGGTCCCCAGGGTGTTCACTTATCAAAGGGGAGAACGGGCAAGGAAAGTGTGTGGGAGAGTCAACGGACTGTGCGTGGTGCCTGTTTCCTGCAGATACACTAGTGCCTCTTTTTTATTTCTTAAAGCAGTTTACAACCATTTCCTGACGGGCGGTAAGGCGGTGAATCAGTTGCTCTGTGGGTGTAACGCAAGTTGTTCGGGCTCCTCCAGACAGCTGATCCGCCTCACCTCTTTCCTTCTACACCTCTCCTCCTCCGGGTCATAAAACACAACCCCTTGAGGGAAGCTTGGGGGCTGGGATCCCGCGTGCACCTGAGAGGCCCGGCAGCGAGAACAGGTACAGGCAGGCCGACACCTGACAGCCACCTGCTGCACTGCCCTGGCCTGCTGCCCCTGCAGGTCCACATCATGTCATTAATTAGGCAGCTAAGGAGCAGCTGTGGGCTCTAGGGCGGCACAGGCTCCTGTCAGATACAACTAGTAAAGAGATTACAAAGGAGTCCCAGGGAGCCCTGCTTCCTCACAGCAGAGGGAGAGCCTCCCGGGACTTACTTCCTTGCTCTCTCTGATCCTAATGCCATTTCCTATACAGAAGTTTAAGAAAAAACCAAAATGTTCCCCTGAAATTAGTTAACTCCCAACAAAACCCCCAAACCCTCTCCCCGGTCCTTGTTGCAGTGGGTGTGGGACGGGTACGGGTGCCGGAGCCGCACCGCGGAGGTCTGGCCCTCTCAGCGCCAACCCAGCCTCTCTCACTTGGAGATCAGGGTTCTTTCACACTAAAAAGGGGATGTGGTGGCAGCCAGAGGAGAGAGAGGCAAACGATAACAACCATACCAAGGAAACAGGGCTTCAGATTGTCGTTCAGTGCGCGTCAGGTACTTGATATTAATCTACTGGGTAAGCACTTATAAATAGAGAGCAGTCCTTCCACGCCGGGCCGCCTTCCTCTGTTAGGAGTCGTCGTACAGAGGGTTGTTGTAGTTTCCCCAGGACCCGTAGTCGTGGTCATCCAAGAGCCTTCCGTAAGAGGAGTGCCTAGGAGGAAGGAGACGCAGGGGGTCACACACAGCTGCCACCTGAGCCCAGCCCACACCCTGCGGCCCAAACCCGGGGGCTGGTGGGCCCTTGAGAGGAAGGAAGGCTCTCCCAGGGAGACAGCCCTGAGCCACAGGCCCACCAACCCCGAGACGAGAGGCCACCTCCCAGCACCTGAAGTCACGGGCCCCCCACCTGGGCCCGATGGGCACTTTCTGTGGACCTCAGCTGGGTCCCTGTCTCTTCCTCCTCCAGAGTCGGAAGGTGGGTAGGGGCGTTACCACGGCTGTCCAGGGGGAAGGACCCGGATGGAAGCAGCGTTCCTTTGATAGAGGCTTTAATTGCCCTGAGGTACCACTGACACAGCCACAGCCATCGGTGCCTTCTCTGCCCCTCGGCACTTAGGCTGAGTCACACAACGTACAAAGGGCTTCTACACTCAGTCTGCAGTTGATCTCACGATAAAGCCCACAGACACGTCGTAGTTTAGCCTATTTTCCTCTGGAGAGGAACATGGGGCTTGGAGATGTCAGCGGACATGTCTACGGCCACCCCACGGAGGTGTACATCCAATCCCCGCCTCCTGTGTCTAAACCCTGGGCTCAGAGTTCGGGTCCTAGGGTCTAAGTAGCACCTCAGTTCAGCCTGGGTCACAGGCTCAGGGGCATTTTCAGGAGCTGTCACACACTTCTTACTTCTATCAGAAACCCCAAGTCAGATGGCTATTTCTCTTCTAGTCAGTCTCTGACTGCTTTTCATCTCACACACAGTGAAAGCCAAAGTCATTACAATGGCTTGAAAAGATTCAGAGCATCTGGCCTGGCTAGTGTTTTGAGCAGATCAGCTACAATTTAAGGGCTCCTTTCCTTCCTTCCCAGGCCCACACACATATACCCTTGCCCCAGGGCCTTTGCACTTCCCATTCTCGGAGCTGGTCACCTTCTAACACAGTGTACACTTCATGCATTTGCTTTGCTAGTGCCTCTTCCCTGACCACACAATGTGCTTCAGTGTACACTATTTGCCTCTTCTGTTGATTCTTGGCTCCATTTGGTACCTAAGAGAATATCTGACACACAGTAAGTCCTCAGTAAATGTTTGTGGAAGAAATCGTAATGAAAAAAATACAACCTGAATTCCCTCAAAATTGAATCAGTCCACAAGGTGGGAGCTCCCTGGGGATGGATCCAGCCATTTCAAGACCAAAATTAAAGGCAGAATTGGAGGAATATGGCAAAACGAGCCCCTGGCATTCCTGGGGTTCATGTTAGGTATGAATAAGTGTATCTTCCACTGGAAATCATGCGTGCTGGCTAGGTTCACTGCAGAGAAACATGCTTACTGCCTGTTCTCGAAAGATATGAAAATTAGACAAAAGGAAAACACTGTACAATCCTCAGGACACAAAATGCATTGGCTGTACTTTCATCTCTTGCTAAAATAATTGCCCTTGCTCTTGTGAACCTTATTCACATCAGCCAGACATTGGCAAAGACAATATTTGCAAAGGGCCAGCCCCCTCACTTGTGCTCCTTTCAAACTCTGAGCCCTGGGAATTCCGACTTCAGTCCTGGAAGCTGACTCAGGAGAGCCAGTCCGTGCTCTTGAAGAGGGACCTGTTCATTTCTGTACACGTGAGAAGAACAGGGCCCTCCAGAAGCAGCCCAGGCACGCTGCTGCTTCTTCAATCTGCAGGGCCAGGAGGGGTTGTGTCAGTCGACAAAGTCTCCAGCATTGTATGGCCCAGGGTCCCCTCAGCTTGAGATCCCCAGTGCCGAGCAAATCCTGTAGTGGGATGGTTGAGAAGTGGAACCCACAGAATGAACATGTAAAATCCTGGCCATTTCAACCCTGCAGCCTGCCCGCAATGCAGCATGACTTCCTGCTACAAACCTGGCAGACATCGACTTCATAAACACGCACCTTTATGGAAGGGACAGAACCCCCCACTTCTCTAAGGTAATTTAGCTTCTCCAGCCATTTTTGTCTCTATCATAGAATTCTAGTCCCATAAAATGTCGGCTGCCAAGAGATGCATATCCTGGCTATGCTGAATATTTTTTTTGACTCCCTGTGCCTTCATCTATAAAATGGAAAATTAAAGAAACATATATATTAGGGTTGTTGGGAAGATTGGATGAAGCAATGCATATGAAAGTGGTTAGCACATAGTAAATGCATAAGTGTTGGCCAAGGTTGCTTCTCAGGTTTTATTATACTGAAACTTATATAAGCACATGTTAAATCTGCAGGCAGTAAAAAACGGCACTGAATGAATAGCAAACCTCCCACTGAGGAGCTGCTGAAATTAGGTCCCAGCATAGTTATAAGACCTGTTTCTTATATTACTGTATTTGAATTTTATAAATTATTGTGCCAAAGCGGGGTCAGAGAATTACAAGTCTTCTGTCTGTTTACTGCCTGTGGTTATTTTAGGCAGAACTCTGGACAACGCTGTAAGGGGCATCGGCCGTGCAGAGGCTGATTCTGACTTTCATTTTCTTTGCCGCCCCATGTGAAGGCACAGCGAGTTGAGTAAAATACTCAATGTAGGGAAAAAGATGTAGAGAAAAAGATATGCGAAACCCAAACAGGGAATGTCCTGGGTCTGGAGAGCTCATTTCAGCACACGCGTGAGCCTCAGCTAGAGGAAGTGGGTCCAAGCCAGATCTGAATGCACCCACTGCTGTGGTACGGAGGATAATGAGCAGGCCTCACATATCTGTGATACGCAGAGGGCAGTTTGTGAGCATGTTGGCCTGTCTCTCTAGGTAGGAACGTCTTAGATCAGGGCATGAGGGAAATGGGGAACTTTTCCGGTTGGCCTTTGAGAGGCTAAAGGTAAAAACCTCCCCATCCCACTGTTAGGACAGTAGCAGCCACGACACTCAGATCGTTTTGTCGCTGTGACTCAATGCGGAGCTGGTACAGCACCGTCTGCTCCTCCTAGGGCAGCGTTATCTCATCTGATTCCATCTGAGAAGCAGTCGCACGGCTTATGTCAGGGTCACGCCGAGGTGATTTTGTTTCCTGCTTCCTGATAAGGACTGGGGTCTGCCCAGTGCAGAGGATTTTCTATTTGCGGTGCCCGGGCTCCTCTTGGATGGGAACTTCTCGGGGGAAGACTACGCTGTGGGTGTGATGGTTACTTAAACACACAGAGGGGAGCTGCTTACATCTCGTGGTGTATAAGGGCGTACAAGGGCGTACACGGTGGGGACGCCGAAGACTGGGCCCAGTTCCCGCAGTGGAGTGAAAAGACCACACGAAGGAAGGCCACAGGCCTATGCCTCCCGTTAGACCCCAGAGACAGGAAGCGAAGAGAACCGTGAAGAGGAGGAATACGTGCCCTGCGATGGCATGGCTACCCAGCGCTGAGCACAGAGCCCCTCGCTTACTCAGTGTCGCCGCAGCTTTGGGGCTGCATTTCTCCCGGGCTGTGTGGTTCATGAACTAAAAGCAGAGCTGAAAGAGCAAAGGAGGGAGTGATTTCTTCCAAGCTGTCCCCTTGCCCTGGCTTCCCCATCAGCCGCTCTCTAATAAAGACCCTGGGTTCAGTCCCCACTGCCACATGCAATGAAAGCTTCACTTCACTCCCCGTCACGCCCCGGCTGGTGACACCGGCTTAGTGACAGCTGGTGAGTGTGGGGGCATCCGTGTGAAGCCTTCCTTGCTACTGTGGAGTGGCACCCATTTTAAGGTCACTGTAACATTAACACCCAACTGTCCCTGAAGATGACTGAGGTGTATGCTTTCCTGGTGTTGAAAAAAACCCTTTTAGAAAACACCTTCTTTTCCAGGGGCCAGCGCCAGCGCCAGTGCCCATGTCCCCACCCCGTCCTCAAGTGTCCGGGGACTCCTGTCTTTTGATGGTCAGCCCTTACCCCAGGCTAAGAAGCAGGGGACAGCATGGGTGACACCTGGCTAAGGGCTGGGGAAGCAGCTGAAGGTGCACCTCTCTGCCACGGGAACCAGCGCTAGACCTTGGGGCAGCTGTCCCTGTGACGTTTTTGTTCCTACTGGCAGCTCTTCTCTCCTGATTGCCATTTCCCCTCCTGCTTCCTTTTATGTAAGGATTTCTCGGAAGTTTACCATCTAAAGACCCTACCTGAGACCTGGGGAACACCTCAGCCAGTGAGACAGACCAAGTCCCTGGGGGCAGCAGGCGGACACTCCGGTAGGGCGGACGTGACATAAGTTAGAAATACCCACATGGCGGTGGCAGAGAGTGGGACGGGGACAACAGCGAGGGAGGTGGGGCAGGAATTCCAGCGGGGAGGCAGGGAGGGTAACCAGACAGAGACTGAGGGGTGAGGGATGAGCCTGGGGGACCCGAGAGGCTGCCTGCAGCCGGGGCAGCATGGACGCAGGCCCCTCTGAGGGAGCAAGCAATGCATGTGTGTGGGAGCTACGGGACCATTACTTTAAAAAATGAACTTATATTGGAATGATGATTTTAGACTTTCAGAAAAGTTGCAAAAGAATGAAGAGCTGCCATGCAGCCTTCCTGCATTAAGGGCGCTTGATGTACTTTAAGCTGCGCTGAATGTTAGCATCCTACGTAATCATGGTGCTTTGGTTAAAGCCCAGACGTCGACACGAAGGGCCATGATTTTGAGGCTGAGAGGACTGCGGGCACAAGAGGTCATGCATTTGCCCCTAGTGACTGCGATGAGTGGCTGAGAATCAGAATTCGGGGCCTGCCGGCTGCACCTGTCCTATTCCCCAAAACCCCAGTGAGGGACAGATTTCCGTACACCATCTGCAAAATCCTCTTCCTAGTGTCTGGGCTTTAAAAAATGTGATTGCTTTCATGCATATCTTTAAATAATCACCTTTCATGTGAAGGGCAGACAGATGCATTCAATGCATTTGTCACAACTGTCTACAGACACCGCCTGCCACAGACACTGGCCACAAAAGGCGACGCCTGTCACACGGCCCTTGGAGAGTGAGCCCAGTGCTACCACGGCCGTGAGCATCTGTGTGGCTGACGGAAGCCCATGGCTGCCTTGCCCAAACCAGTGCCTCCTCATTGGGTGTAAGTACTGCTTGTAAGTACTTGTAAGTTGAGGTGTAAGTACCCCGACTCTGGGCCCTGCACCCTTCTGTCATCCAGAATGTGCCTGCAGAGCAGCGGTGACTTGGGCAGTGCCAGGGCCTGTGAGCAGATCCAGCGAAGGACACAGGCAGAGGGCGGGGTGACTCCATGTGGGGATTAGGGGAGATAAGGAGGGATGTGGAGCCAGGAGCACAGTGCGGAGGAGGAGGGGAGAGAGAGGAGGCCCCTTCTTAGCTGGATCACTTGGTATTAGCCAGGGGAATAAGGGACAGCCAGACTCCATGACAGTGTGCTCAAAATCACAGAGGTGTGACACACAGGGAAAGCCAGGGCAAAGTGTGCGACTGGGTATCTGGAGTGGGGATGAAGCTGGTCACTCCCAGTGTGGCCCTGGGGCCAGGAGCCCTGGCAGCCCCTCGGAGCCCATTAGCGGTGCAGGTGCAGGGCCTGCACTAGCCAGACCAGAACCCAGGGGCGGGGACCCAGCAAACTGTTTCTAGGAAGCTTGCCCATGGGTTCTTGTACAATGAAGCTTGAGAATCAGGTAGACAAGACCGGCAGAGCCCACCCCCCCACCGCAGACTGATCTGAAAAACAAGCCCAAGAATCACAAAGCCACCCCGGAGACAACAAATTCTAGATGCTCTTAGCCTTCATAGCTGCCTGAGCTTGCTCAGCTACCAGCTGCCCAGCCTCAGAGATTGCTGGGTAACTACCACCAGCTAGCAAAAGGAATCCAGCAGTGCAAACTGCAACCCTTGCCTGGTAAGACACCAGCAAAGACAGGTGACTGTGGCAGGACGCCCTGGAGGCTGGGCCCTGCTTTGTCTGTAAGTCAGGGTCAGGTTTATTTTCCTGACAAGAACAGCCCTGCTGTCTGTCCGGGTCTCAGCACACTAATTATAGCAGCCCCACTTCCCTGCCCTAGCAGATAGGGTCTCTCACCACCGTGATCATCTCCTGGCTGAAGAGATAAACAAAACAGAGCTGCTGATCTCATCCCTAATTAAAGACACCCTCCACAAGAGGCAGACAGGGCCTGAGCTTTCTCCTAGTGTTGCAAACAAGCCCTGAGATCAGTACTTCCCCAGGACGGTTTTGTTTTATCAGTGTCTAACACGAGTGCAACTTCACGGGCACCTCAGATCAGCTCCCCCGAGACTGCCAAGGGGCACACCGAAGCCTGAGAGCCAGACAGTGATTCGAAAATGATTGGACTTGCCCTCCTCCTTCTTTTTCTCCTCTCTGTGAATCCCTGATGGCATCCCCGGAGGCTACTCCAACCTCACAGCTCCCTGTCTGCAGCTCCCTTGTCACAAAACTCCAGGGCCGAAACACAGTTCCGACAGCAATGACCACATCCAGCTGACCTTCCATTTCCTGCACCGCGCACAAGGACAGAGTGTGTGCTCATCCACGTGGTGACCTTCAGTTAGGTGTTGCGATGATTGCAAATGGGGAAACTGAGGTAGAATGCTGGAGCCACTGCCCCCAGGTGTCTCTTTAGCCACAGTGCTGCCGTCAGGCGGGGCACCCTGCACTTACTGAAGCACAGTCCCTTAAATGACCTTGGAGGAAGGGTGTAGTCAGCTCTATTTTTGCAGATGGAAGAAATCAAAGATAAGGGAGATTAGAATTTGCCCAAGGCCAGCTCGGTAGCAGGAGGAAAGGCCAGTCCTGTGCTGAGCTTGGCTATGGAGCTCGCCTCCCTCTCCACATCGATTGCTGCTGGTTAAGACAGGTGGATACCAGGAGGGCCCTGGGAGGGCAGCTCAGGGCAGCTCCCGTTATAAGCCACATGTTAAATGGCCCAAGTAATGAACTGATGCAGGTCTCCTGGCAGCTGACATTGTGTCCTTACGGGGTCCCTGTGAGGAAAGCAGATGGCTAAGGGTTTAGGAAGCCTTTGGAGGAAATAGGGTTTGGGCAAAAGCTGAGAGATTGTCCCTGTGTTCTTGGGGACCGGGCCTGGCCGATGCTGTAGCCTGTGGTTGTGGGCCAGAGGGTCATGACGCCTACGAGCTATGACGTCAGTCTTCACAGGTTCAGCCAAGTGAGCTCCAAGTCCCCGGACAAGAAGACTCCTGTTACTGTTCTCAGAAATCCAGGATGACAGAAGAACAAACTTTCAGCCAAGGCAAAGCCTACACACTCTCTCTCTCTCACACACACACACAGACACACACACAGACACACACACGTCAATTAGCCAACTGTATGTTCGATGAATGAGCCCAGGGGCTTTCTGACAATCTGGTGAAGTAACCCTTGAAGGGGCTTCAGCATAGCCTCAGGTTTCATGAGAACCATTAACCACCTTCTGTTACCGTTTTGGCAAAAGAACTAACGAGGGGCAGAAAGGGGCTTTCCTTGGGGGGGTTTCTAAGACGCTGGGATCAGCTTCAGTCTACAGCGCCAAATGCAAGTAGCTTTGCAGAAGAGAGCAACCTTGCTTTTATGTCACCGTAAAGCTTTCTGTGTTCAGGAGCGAGAGCCTGCCTGGTGGAGGGAAACAATGATTAATTCATTCTAATCATTCACTAAGTTAATCTGGTGTTAAAGATTGGGGAAATGGAGTTAAAAACAAAACTTTATACTATTTTAATCGGCACTCAGTAGAAATTGCAATGATCCCTGTGGTGGCTGGGGTGGGTCCTATCACTCACACGGTCCCTGCGCCCAGGGGGTGCCCGGCACGCGGCTGATGCCAACGCCTGTCTGCCCGTCAGTCCAGCTCTCCGAGGCTCTGTCCCCAGAGTACCTTATAATCTACCGCTGTGAGAAGAGTGATGCTGGGGACAGTGCATGTTAATCCTCCAGCTGTGCTCCCAGGAGTGAGGATGACTGCCCTTACCTTACAGGCGGGGAGTGAGGGCTGGTGACTTGCCCTGTCGCCCCAGGTCACATGGCTGAGACAGGGCGGGGCTGGGTTCAGACTAAAGTCTCCCTGAAGATGGCCTGCTTAGCACCAGTGTGGTCTAAGAAGGTAAATTTGAATTCTTGCCTAAAGTCAAGAGAGTCTTTTAGGTTAGTTCAGCATCTTTTTAGGGGGGAAGGGCGGAAGTAAGATTTTGGGGACATAGCTCAGGAACTCACCGCTGGCAATTCCAAAAGGACTGTACAGTTTATCAATTTATAAATAAGTTCATTTTTTTTTTTTGAGCCCCAGAACGTATTTTTTGACAGAGACTTTGTTGGAATTGGGAATGAGGTTCCCAGACTAGTTCATAAAGGCCAATTGAACTCATAATTAAAGTGCAAGGTATCTGCCACGATAAACTAGTAATTATTCCAGATGGGAAAAAGCACCATTTAGTAAGATGTAATTTATAAAATTGCTTGGTGTTCAAAGAAACACCGATTAATGAAGGTGAGGTTTTTTTAGAGTCTGAAGGAAGCTTGTGGATGTTTTTATAAAGCTTTTGGATATTGGTTTTGAGGGGCATTTTGTTCCAATTTCTCTCTGAAATTGGCCGTCTTCTTCGCGGTGTCTGGGAGGAGGTGATGTCCAGGGCTCTCTGACTTGCTGGTCACCATCACGGGGCACGTTAATGCACAGTGAGGACTGAGACAGGGAAGGAGGGGAGCTCCCTGTGGGCGGGGAGACAGGATAGGGCCACAGAGGAGGTGAAATTACATGGCCACAGGTGGGACCTGGGCTCTGGGGCGTGTGGCTCCCCAGGTCACCAGGAGAGCCCGGCATGGAGCCTTAGATCTGGAGTCCTGACCCAGCTTCATTCTCCTTCATCATTCTAGCACCATATGGCTTTTTTTGGTACTAGGAATCGAACTCAGGACCTTACGATTGCCAGGCAGGCACTGTGCTACTGAGCTACACCCCCAGCCCTCCCTCTATCTCAGCAGCGTGCCACGCATTCAAGCGCCTGTCTCTGGCCTGGTCCAGTTCAGACCAGCCACTCCTGTCCAGCATGGAGTACGCCAGCCACATCAACCGTTGGACAGTGTCTATGAGGGCTAAGGCATGTCTGGAGAAACAAGTCCAGCTGGTGTGGTGGTACACATTTTTCATCCCTGGAGGCTGAGGCAGGAGGATCAGAAATCCAACCTGGCATCTTAAGGACACAGTAAAACCTTGTCTTAAAGTAATAAATAAAAAAGGGCTGGGGATACAGCTCAGAGCAGATTAAACCCCTTCCAGGGTTTAATTCTCAGTACCACAAGAAACAGGCTCTCAGCCAAACATCTCTCGCCCTGCAGCCCCGCCAAAGGAAATCCTCTGTTTGCATGAAGAGTGGGTCTCACCTGATCTTCAGATACGCAGCGACTCCAAACACCAGCACAACTACGGCGATGACTGTCACCGTGATGGCAGCGACGCTGCCTGTGGAGAAGGACATAGTTAGTGACTCGCAGGGCACAGTACCCCTCCTGCCTGCCCCTTCTTTCCTGAGGGAGGAAAAAGTCACTGACTGCCAGTCATTGTGACGAAGTCACAACTGGAACAAGCCGCAGATCTGTGTGCTGCTGCTAGCACATTCTTATGGCAGGGGACGTTTGGCAAAGGGTCACTATTGTTCCAGAATTTACTGAGATCCCCTGGTTCACCTGGCACCCAGTGGGCCCACAGCCGCCTTGGGATCCCTTTTGAAGAATGACACCAGGCTTGCACAGCTGATACCGGCAGAGATCATTGCTTCTGAGTCTCCCGGTATCCTCTTTTCTTCTTATAGGCTCTGGCTCATCTTCCAATCACTCGTGAGGTATTTTGGAGACAGGATGTCCTAGTCAGGGGTCACCCCAAGGTAACGTGGTAGGTTTCCTAACGAACCAGAGTCACACAGCTATCTTGCGAGTGTCCACTCTATTTAAAAGGGTCCCTTTGGTGGGAGATGGGCTAGTCTGAATGACGCCTCCACATTGAATCATTTAAAAACAAATTCCTTCTTGGGAAGTGTATGCAGCTTTCACCCTTAAATGACACATCTGGTTTTATAGGGAATATGGTCAAGCCTGGAGTGAAAAGTAAGGCTACCTCTAGTAGGTTACACTGTTTGTTTTAATAACCAGATGTAATTACAAAGTAACATGACAGTTTTATTCTGTAGCTTGAAATCTGGTTCAACTATTAATAGGCAGTTAAAAACAAAACAAAACAAATCCTCTGAGCAGGCAGCATCATAAGAATAACCACACTGCCTCTGAATACCACTCGGGAGCACAACACTCTTTTTGTGTGAGTTCTGGGCTAATGATTTTATATATATATATATATATATATATATATATATATCTTCCAGCTTTATTCTGCTCAGAAATGCAAGAGTCAATTGGGCTCTTGTCCCTTGTTACTGTAGGTGACTTTTGGCACTGACGGCGGTGTTAGGGAAATGATTTACTGCTTCAGCACATGAACGAGTCTTCTCAGACACACAGGGAAGGGGGCACAGAGGGAGCTGGAGGTGTGGACTCATGTGTGGTCCAACCAGGAGTAGCAGTGCGACCATGAGCTCTTCACCCAAGCTGCCAACTCCTGTGTTTCTCACTGCAGAGACGGGGGAACAAGGACGGTCTACGTGCTTGTCTCACATGACTTCAAGGAGATTAAATGAGATGATGTGAGCATGAGTCTACAGAAACCTCAAATCCATGAGCCGGGACCTATGTCCACCTCTCCTGTACTGGGTCTCACAGGTGATGAAACTTTCCTAGATTTAAATTTTTTGGAGACTAATTATTTGGAGATTATTTTGCCATCTGTCCTTTTATTTGTCCCCACCAACACGGATGGCTTTTGTTTTTTGTTCTTTTCGTTATCCCCTCCACCAGAAGAATTAGAGCCTAGCTAAGAAGCAAAGCTACTTACTGTTTGTAACTCCGGGAGAGCCCTGGGGGAGCGACGGCTACCCCAGGCACCATGCTCCTGTGCCGTCCTTTCTAAGAGAGCCAGGGGGCACCGCTGCCGACGTGAGGACACAGACCAGTGCTCATGTCCCTATGGAGACCCGCCACACTCAGCTACATCCACACTTGCACATACACACACACACACACACACACACACAGCCATTCGTTTGCCCCTGGGGTGCTTTGGAGTCCGATTAGTGTAATTATTGGTTTAATTTCTCTTTTCACTACGCAGAGAAGAAATGATGGCTCCGAGGACTGGAATGTGTGGATGGGTCAAGCAGAGACAGTCAGAGCTTAGACCCTCCTGGGGAAGCCTCTCTTCCTGCTCTGAAAGGCGGCTTTTAGCTTCTTGGCCTCCAAGCTGTGCTGAAATTAGAACAACTCAGAGTTCACCCAGGCCTCAGAACAGCTCTCCCAAAGAGCTGGTGGAGGGAGAGTTCTAACCGCAAGGCAAGGTGGCGGGGACATTTTCAGATGAAAAAAGATACGGTTTTTGCAATGAGAAGCAGTTTAAAAACAAGCCTTTTGCTCTAATTTCTCCCTTTCCCTAAAAGAGAAGAAAAGTAGCTGATCTTCTTGTATGATTCTTCTTTCTTGCCCCAGGGACAATGTAAAGTAGGAAATCGTAGGTTTGACCTTTTCCAGATTCCTCCCAACTCGAAGCAGTTGGGCCTCCTCCAACACTGAAATGCAGAGCTTATTTATACATTTCTTTCTAAAGATAAATGAAGCCGTTTCCCTCACTCAAGCGCTGTTCTTTTTTTGGTTGTTGTTGAGACAGCAAGTGACAGCGTGGCCACCATGTGACGGTGCCTGTCCTGCTCTAGATGTGACCCTGCTATCTACCCTGCACCCTTTCTGGTGCCCTGCATGACCAGCACAGGATGGACGCCCGGGGATGGCTGGGCCAGAGGCCCTCTGAGAGTCAGCACCGCTCCTCACAAGGCCCAGAGGTGGGAGGTAGTGTGTACTTGAACACCTGGGTCTCTACTCGGTATTCTTCGCAGAGGCTTCTGTCAGAGTGCCAGCCAAGGAGCTAGCTCTTCCGGCCTCCGCCTTGGCCACCTCTGACCAGCGGGAGACCCTGAGTCCTGAGCTTTCTTCCCCACAGCTACTGCGGCTCACACGTCCCCACAGCTGGGCCCTGGGAGGGGTTCCACCCCAACAGCTTTGAGCTTTGAGCTTTGAGCAGGTGAGGGGGTTGCTGAGGCAACGGGAGCGCAACTTCAGGGAACTGGGAAGCTTTGTCTCCTCCTTGTGAAAACAAATGCCACTTCCTTGAGTCTTGTTTAAGACACTGGGATTCCCCTGGTCCTGCCACTTGCCCTCTGCCGGAGGGGAGGGAGAGGGCTGAGGCCATTGTGAGTCACGTGCTGGGAGGGTGGGACGTGCCTGGTCAGACTGGGTGTGTGGAAGCTCAGGGACGGGCGGAAAGGAAGAGCTGGAGAACTCCTCTGCGGGTCCGGTCCGAGAGGCCGACCAGGAAGATCCACCATGCCTGCAGGCTTGCCCGCACCCAGGGGCTCCTGAGGGTCCACACGCCAGCAGCTCCTCGAGTTCTGCACTTCCTCCAAGTCTGAGTCTCCTCAGCATGCTGCTTGGCCACTGTGGTCCTGGCCCAGGACAAGAATAAAGGAGCTCAAGGACAACCAAGGCTGCTGGCTTCTCACGGGAGGCTGCCGTGGCTGGCACCACACCAAGGACTTTGCCCTCTTTAGCAGAAGCGTGGGATGACTCTCACTTCATAGACAAGGAAGTCAAGGCTCGGAGAGCTCGGGACTTGACTCAAGTCTCACTCTGGTGGATGACTGAGCTAGCTTCTGAGCACGGGACCACTGCATCCAGGTTCTGCGCTTTTAATCACGTTCGGCCCTTCCCTCAGCCTGCACAGTTCTGTCCTCTCACCGAGCACCAGTGCTGTGAGAAGCCTTCCTGACCCCGCACAGGTGACAGTGCATCCCAGGGGTCACTGTGCCTCCTCCTGCCGGTCACCAGGGCTGTGCTTTTGGGCTCCCTGGGTGGATTCCGCTCTTTCATTAAATGTTGAATAAATTGAATAAATAATTGTTGAATAAATATTGAATAAATAATGTGATATTGGGGAAAGTGATACTGGAGGTTTCTGGCCCTAATCTCTGTACTAAGGAAGCTCTGGAGCAGCAGGCTTTCTGCCTGTCCATCTGAGAATCCCAGATCTCATGTGAGAACAGCTCCTACCGTCGGGTCTGTGGTTCTACCCCTGACCACGGCACCCTGCCCTTCCACAATCTGTGGGGGTCCACGGCTGGCCGGAGGGAAACTTCAGGAATAACAAATAGTCAGGTGATATTTGAGAAGCAGCACAGTGAACTCTCAAAATCCCTTGACCATGGGCAGGTCTGGTTGGTCACCACTACCTTCCCCTGGGGCCATCCCGGGATGATCGTGGTATTACCGTGAGTGTCTCTTGCCCCCACCTGCAAGATCCTTCTCAAGCTCAACCTTCTTTGGAAACTGTCGCTGATAAGGGCCTTGTGCTTTCTTTTGGTAGGTGTTTCTTTAATTTGGGCAGCACAGTTTAGTGACTTCATGGTAGCGTAGCCTGGTACTGGTGTCTGTAGTTACTGTGTGTGTGTGTGTGTGTGTGTGTGTGTGTGTGAGATGCATTCTATTTCCGAGCAGAGATGCTCTCTGCCTGCTCTCCAGATCGGGGTCCTTGAAAGCCAGGAACTCCAAGTTCTGCTTCCCTTTTCACTGAGGCCCCAAATAAATAATTCATAAAGTAACCTTAATGTCTTCTGAAGTGTAGCTATCTTATAATTGGATATTATTAGTAGTTAGGATGCAAGCAAAAAGCTCCTTCTAAAGCGTCTAACTTGCATGCAAACATTAACACAGGAGTGTTTTTAATGAGCACAGCCTAAGCTGTCTCTGTTAGTCCTCCTCCTCATCGCTCTTTCCTCGTCATTAAATCACTCCACTCATCTGTTCACGCAGAGCGGGGAAGGTAAACCGTCTCCAAAGGAGCCTTGTGTTACCGCAAGCAGAGCCTCTGCCTCAGGGTTCTGCTCTCCTCCGAAGCTCACTGCGGGGCAGAGCTGAGCCTGGTGTTTGGAGCAGGACCCACTCCTGCACTTTTCTGCAGCAGGCCATCCTCTGCACCCAGGGTCTTGGTGGCAGTGAGAAAGAGGAGCCCTTGCCTGGGACAGGCGCCCACTCCCCCTTCTTTCTCTCCTTCCTCTGTGTGTGTGTGTGGGGCACATCCACTAGGATGCTGGGGTGTAGGTTTGAAACTAATGCCAACCAAGGGCTCACGCAGGAACAATGCTCCGTTACCATGGTTTCAAACTTTCTTCGCTTCACTTACAATCTTTTCCAGCACCAAGAAGACCCTTTTCTCACTTAGAATTTAACAACCTACGCAGGTCTCCTGACCTATGTTCTCCTTGCACATCTGTAACACAAACCAAGGAGAACAGACCTCCTTCCCTATCC